CAACCGTGTTCCCGCAATACCGGATTTACTGGGGTCGATCCGGCGCCGTATCCGGCGGGCCGCCGACAACTTAAACGCCCCGCCACACCGTCAGCAGGCCGTAGGGCCAACCGCTGCTATGCTAAAATGCACCAACCGCCCGGTTTGAAACCGTTAACATCCACCGTTAACATCCGGGGAATATGTATGCCTCATAACTTTTGGATGATCAACTGCAACGAGCAGAACTTTGACATCACTCGAAACCTGCATTTCGCCAGCCAGGGACTCAAGGCCGAGTACCGCCGCAAGGTTCAACGCGTTGAGCCAGGCGACCGTATCGTTTTTTACGTAACCGGAATCCGCGCCTTCACCGCCACCGCTACGGTTACCAAATCCTACGAGGAAGTTGGATCCAGCCCCTGGGTCAAAGAGGGCAAAACCACCTGGCCGTACCGCATCGGCATCTCCCCCGACGTTGTGCTGGACAAGTCACAATACATCGATGCGGGGATGCTGGCGTATCGCCTGGAGTACATCCGCAAGTGGCCGCCCGAGGATTGGCACCTGGCCTTCCAGGGAAACCTGCATCTGCTGTCGAAAAACGACTTCTTTCTGTTGGAGTGCGAGATGCTCAAGCTCCGAGACGGTCGGGAAAAGGCGTTGGTGCAAATTGATGCCCTGCTCGCTTCCGAAGGAGAGCGGATGAACGCCCAACGCGAACGCCGGCGTCGCGTCGTCAATCGCACTGCTAACCGACCCCCCCGTGCGCCCGACGACAGTGTGGCGTCCCCAGCGCCCGCCGCATCGCCGGAGCTTTCACCCCAATCGCAACGGGACAACGACACCCACCCACCCGCAGAACTCGCCGCATCAGCCGGCCGGCCACGACGCAGTAACACTTCACGCGGAGCAAATCGCCAACGTGGCCGGCGTTCCACGCCACCGCAACTCCCCCCCAACGAACCGTCGAGCTAGATGCGTTCGCTGCCCTCTTTGCCTAGCGCGAGCTGAATCTCGTCCCGCGCGCGGAGGTCGGCCTCGGTCGCCATTGCTGCGTTCAGAGCTTCCCGGGCGGCTTCGCCTCCGACCATGCCCAACGCCCAGGCTGCGTGTTGGCGTACCATCGCCGCTGGGTCGTGCAACGCGCTCCTCAGCGCCGGTGCCGCAGCCCGGTCACCGCTGTTGCCCAACGCAATGCAGGCGTTCCGGCGCATTCCCAACCAGCCGGCGCGCATGATGGGTGTACCGGCGAATCGCTGACGAAACTCCTGCTCCGTCATCTCCAGCAGCTCAATTAAATCCAGACTGGACAGGTCCCGACGACCAAAATTGGCGTCCTCGGTGGCCAGCGCCTTTCGATTGACCGGACAAATTTCCTGGCAAATATCGCAGCCAAATACCAGGTTGCCCATTGCCGACCTGAGTTCAATCGGAATCACTCCATCGTGTTCGATGGTCAGAAAACTGATGCAACGCCGGTTGTCGACCACATAAGGCGCAACAATAGCGTCGGTGGGGCAGGATGGTATGCACCGCGAGCATTGCCCACAAGTCTTCACCAGGGGCTGGTCCGGAACCAGCGGCAGGTCGGTGATAATCTGACCCAACAGCACCCACGACCCCAGCGTCGGTGTCAGGATATTGCCGTTCTTGCCGAACCACCCCAGGCCGGCGCGGGCCGCCGCCGCCCGATCCAGCATCGGGCCGTCATCAACGTACCAGCGGGCCGCAAACTCGTCGCCCAGCTCTACCGTCAGTTGCAGCACCAGGCGACGCATCCGGCGCTTCATCACCCGGTGATAGTCCCGTCCCCGTGCGTAGCGCGCAACTTTGCCCCCGGGCTGGGTAATTGCATCGTCCTGATCAACGTTGTAGTAGTTCATCCCCAGAC